CAAATTTACTCTAAGATAGTACGAGTATGTACGTATGTATAACCAACAAATATATCAACATTGGAGTTGTATATTTTCCTTATCATCGTGTGAATTAATGAAAATAGAAATTGCACTTAAACGATGATATTTATTGTATAAAAATTTAGATTTCTACCGGTTTCGACTGTATGACAGTCATCTTCAGGAAATAGATGTCAACGAATACAAACATAAACGGGATCTCATTGAAGTGAAATCTGAAAGATCATTCACAGTAAACTATTAAACTAACTTATTAATTAACTTTGGGTGTCTTTATGGCATCCTAGTTATTGATTTAGATTGCAGTGTATCTAAGGGACGTTACCGTAAGGGTTTTGATAAATTCATTGAAGTTTAAAACTAACGACTTCAGCTGTACAGTTCTTAGTAACTTCACATACATCATACAATGAACAAGACGATAGCTGCAGAACTTATCGCAGCACGAGAAGTTGTGAGAGACAAAATTCGTTCTTTAAAAGAGGACTTAGAGGAGTCAAGGATTCGGTCGGAAACTGCATATGCACCCATCGCGAGACCGTTACAGGATATTGTCGCAAAACTTGACACTGCGCCTTTACTATCCATTCCAAAACGAAGTTTATCTCCAAAAGAAGAAAAATTGATATCTAAGATACAACGTTACTCGCCGGATATTTCTGACGTACCAGCTAAAACCGAGACCGAATATTTTATTCGAAAACCGAAAGCGCCATTAAAAGAACAGCGACGAAAATTTGCTACATCGACTCCTGAAAAAAGGTTGGTATCTTCTTCTACGTCTTCTCCTCTTGGTCCATTAGCTCATGCAGAAGAAGAAGTATATGAAGTTCCGCCGGGCGAACAAGAAGAACTCCTCGATTCTAGCGAGGATACCGGAGCTCTTATTTCGGACGCACATAATCGAATAGAACGACTTAAAGATGAAATAGAAGAAAGATTGGAGTCTCCAGAGGTACAAGCCGCTTTGAGTCAGTTTCATCCTTTGCCCAGAACGTATATAACTGATTTACTGATAACTGATTAACTGATTTAAAAGATGATTATGATCGTTTATACGGTGTTCGCGAAACTCCCGAAGGTTTCTACATTGGAGTCAGTCCTGTTCACTTTGAGGATCAGGATATTCACGTTGGCAACTTCAAATATACGGGAACCGTTGGTTTATATGATTTACTATTTAAAAACGAACCGGAACATGTCATTATTAATTAATTTAACCCCTTTTTAACAGGGTGTCTCAGCGAGAGCGGTCATTAGACGTTTCTTGGGTTCTGGCGAAAATAAAAATTTGAGAATTAAGACTTAGGTATTATCAATTACGATCTCTTCGACTAAAATATTTTCAGATTTCTTACACTTTCGGTTATACCGGAAGTCGCCACCTACTTTATTTTTTTAAATGGAACACCCTGTATATTTTTACATATTTGGATTTGTCTGCTTTCAAGCTTTATAAATAACTTTACTTTTTACAATTTGATTCGGCCGTTCTCGAGTTATTCGAATTTTTCTAGAAAAATCTGCTCCAGCAGACATTTGTTTAAAAAATCAGAGAACACTCGATTTTTGGAATATCAATTTAGGATTCAGAACATGCTTAAGCAACATGATGGAGTATGTTTTGGTGCCGAGAACGGCTGTGTAGAACGTTTGGTCACTTTACTATGGCACGTTAACTATTCAAAATTTGGAAGTACCATAACTTTATTTTTTTAAATGGCACCCCCATATTTTATTACTTAGCCGTCTTCGGTGTCTCATTCTACATCTTTTATATCCCATATGTCCCATACCTAACATTAGTAGTTTGGGAGATAATAGGGTTTTTTGAAAAACGGCTGGTCCGTTTATCCAGTGGTCCAATAAAGCGGCATCTACTGTATTCATTTACAAGCTCTATTTCACTTCTTGAAAAATAAACTAGCTTAGATGGAATAATAGATCATCACAAAACCGTGCAATGTCAAAGAAAAAAGAATGGATCATATTATTACAATATTTTCGTTATCATTTTGAAGCGAGAAAAGGTGATATACATATAATTATTATAAATAATTGAATTATGTAAATTCTTGCCTCAGTGTCTATACATGTGTCATAGGTTCGCCATCACCGTTAGGTAATGCTAACGCAGTGGTGAGATGATATTGCAAATAATTAATGATACTGTTGATATCAACAGTTCGGACATTTCGGAATATCCAAAAGTACGGCTTGGCGTGTGCCACACGAACAGTAATTGTATCCATACCACTTGTTGACAGTACAAGAATTAAAAATTGCTGATCATTCGTTGCTGCGTGTTTAGAAAAAATACTTTTTATTGATGACCATTAATTTGACATATTGCTTTACTGCTTTACTTACGATTTATTTTCATGGTCGCCTACGATTAATATTGTAAACTGTATTACGTAGTATTGTTTTATACAGTATTATTTACTTACGACAGTATTTCATTGACGAGGTTGTATTTTTTTGTGAATAACTCTAAAACGATGCGTCTAATCAATAATTACTAAGAGTGAAAATAACTTTAAAATGAAATAGGCTTTTGGCATCAGTTGGAAATTTTAAGGGTCTACGACATAATAAAAAAGTTTTAAGGAAATAACCTTAATGGATACCTGTACCTATAGCATTGATGCCGTGCTTGCATACTTTCAAAAGTGTTTCAAAGCTGTTTTCTCTTTGGAATTATTAATAGTCTTGTTATTTAAAACTAATTTATTCAGTTATTAGCACCAAATTTGCCAAAATTAATTTCAGGACCAAAATCTTTGATTAAGTCATAATAACCTAACGAATGAGCTATCTACGTCCTTTTCAATTGAAAGAATAGCAAGGGCTGAAAGCTGATCTTGTGTCATCAAATTCCTCAAATATGTTTTAATAATTTTTAATCTCGACAAATTTCTTTGTGCAAACGCAACTATGATATCGCCGGTGATATAGTGACAATAATTCTCAGGACTACTTCGATAGTGGGATATACTTCAATTAAATTTTTTTCTCATCTGTCTTTTGAAAAAGTGTTTGACGTTTCGGATACCATGTTGCAACCTTCTTCAGATACAAGTTCGAAGTGACACTCCACCGATAAGGATAAAATAAAAAATTTTAATTATCAATTTTTGTCTACTCGAGTTGTTGCGTCAGGCCCCTGCAAAAGCGAGTCCCCGGGCGATCGCCCTGTTCGCCACCCTCTAAGACCGCCAGTACCGCACTAGATACTTAAGTAGTAGGTTTCGAGAGTTTAATTGATCTATAGTCTACACCACTGATGGCATATCTACAGCTTGGCGGAACATTTTAACACGGAAAAACTGTGAAATATACACTGTACGTTTTAATAAGTAAATCAAAAATCGAGCAGAAATTAAAAATCTTGCATAACATTGTTAATACGGCATAAAACGTTATGTTTGGATCAGGGTGGAATTTAGTTAGGTGAGATACACTACATTGGGGTAGTGGTTATTTATTTATTGAGAAATTAGGTTGAATTAGCTGAAGTCAGGTTATGTTGATTTGTTTCTAGTATAGGTTTGTATGTTGCCTTGTTACAAATAGCTAATTTTGATAAGTAGAAATCTTGGTTATTTGGCGTAATGTAATTCTGTCCATATATCCAAGCTTCTTCAAGATGATGTCGAAACAATAGCAAAAATATCTACTGAAAAAGGTGGGCTGTGCAATTACGATTGTCTAAACGGACTTTAAGAAGAATTTTGCATTTACACTTGCATGTAGATAGCATGTCAAAGACACAATCCTTGTAAATTTTGTGAAAACAAAACAGATAGGAAACATTTGATAATAGGCAAATATTTGCCTTTCTAGTCATATTAACAAGCAAAACGGTCGTCTTTGGGGGATAGAATATAATAATAATAATATAGAATAACACAACATCTATCATTTCACCTCTCTTCAAAGAGTATTACAGGCATTACAAAACGTGGCATCAATTTTTTGTTGTTCAGTACTATATCTACGACATGTGTCTTGAATTTTAAAAATTTGACTGCATTCATAACTCGTGTAAAAGTTGTCAACAAACAAAGTTCATCCTTCATTTAGCTATTTATCTGCTAGTTCAATGCAAACGTTTTCGGCTGTGCCAACTTGCGTTCTTCCGCTGGTATCTCGTCCAGAAAATATATCGCGGTCTATCGTTTCGTTATTTGTAAAATGCAAGTTTGTTAACGGTTATTCAAAACGATAACGGGATATACTGCTGTACGGAAATGGAATGTTGTTAATAGTGTCCGTTGACCAATATTTAACGAGCGGTGTCTGTACAAACCCATCCAAATCATCAGTCCGATAAATTTTGTGTTTTCTTCAGCAATTTTTCAGTGTTGCCATCTGTTCAATCGCGCATGATCAGTCACTTCTTGTTGATGCAGTTTTTGCTCTGCATATCTATTAGTCTAGTGACTGACTAATAGGTTTATCCCGTTTTAGTCTAAGAATAGCGAAATCACTTCACTTGCTTTAGTATCCATTAGAAGCCCACCTTTTCTGGTGAACGGAAATGATTGTTGCGAATTTGTTCCACTGGAATGTTGCGAATTCACTTCTTCTTCTTTGTGAATAGCAAATTCTTCCAATATACGTCAAGGTCTTCACTTGCATAGGTATAATTCATCAGTGTGGAAGTCTGAACTCGATGAAATTATACAGGTTGCCCATTATGTATGGACTATAGTCGGTAAATGTTGACTTTATAAAAACACCCTTCGTTTTTTAATGCTTTTGTCACCTGGTTTTGCGCCTACTTATATAGGTTGAGATCGCTTGAAATTTCGACATCCAGATAGTTGAAGATTAACACCTGTTCTATGTCTGCCTTGGAGCTTTCTTGGTTAATTTTCTGGGATACCCTCCATAAGATGATGCTCCTAGTGATACATTTAGCGTTGTTTCAATAAAAGTTTTTCTAGAAACTAAATTCTTTTTTATTACAGACATTCAAATGGCAGATTCTTTTCCGTTATTGGACTGAAAATATGCATTGATTACTTCAAAATGCGAGGCCATGATGTAACTGCCATTGTACCGCAAATTCGCAAGAGAAAGAATCAAAACTCTGATCCCAAATTATTGTTTAAACTTGAAAAAGAGGGTAGTGTAATTTTTACCCCATCAAGAGTTATTAATGGCAAAACGATTGTTCCATATGATGATAGGTAAGTTACAGTGCCGCACTTAATTATTGGCACAGTAATCGTATTTTAATTAATTCATTAGTCCATAGTTCCAAATTTAAAGAGAAGTGAATTTTAAAACAGAATTTTTACACAAAATTTGATTATTACTGTTAAGAATAATACTTGTAAATTAAGTAAAAAACTTCATTTATTAAACAAATTGGTTTTTAACAATATACAAAATAGAAAACAAAAATATTATTCAACTTTATGTCACAACTTATTTGATACAATTGAATTCAGAACTTATAAACTACTATTGGCTTTTGTTCATTTAATTTGGTGTGATTGCCTTTGGCATTTATCACCGCCTTTAGTCGATTTGGCATTGATTCGACCAGTTTTTTGGATACTTACCATTCGTCAAGTATCGTTTTTTTCAAGTCTTCTTTATTGTATATTTTACACTTCAGTATATTTCGATCCAACATTGCCCATAGATTTTCAATGAGCTTCATATCGAGCGACTGTGCCATTAAGTGAGGGCAATTCCAAATAAGCCACGACTGTACGATTCCTGATTTGTGTTTTGGATCATTTTCCTGATAAAAGCGAAAATTGCGTCGTATGCCTAGGCGTTCATGACTTTGGACCAAATTCCGCTTAAAATTACAATTTTTTGGTCCATAATTCCGTCAATAAAGACTAAATTTCCTACACTGGCGGCGGACATGCAGGCCCAAACACGCTTTCTCCACCATGCTTAACTAGCTTTTAAATTCTTCTTTTTTAGTTCCGTATTTGGTTTGCGCGTCGGCAAAAATTACCTCATTCCAAAACTCTAGGCACTTCGAAATATGTTCCTTTGCAAAGTTAAGCCGACTTACCTAATTTTTTTTAGTTCTAAAGGTGTTCTTACGTGCTACTCGCCCATGGAAGTTACACTGTTGGAAATAATTCACGAGCACACCCTATATAATCTGAACGCGTGACGATAAATCCATAATATTTGCGCAGTACAAAGGTTTACTGTAGACGAGTTTATTCAGGGAGTTTCGTGTTGTTCCGTCGCGGCATTGTTGACTTAGCCGCCCTTCCAAGTGGAACATTCCGTCGCTATGGAGACCGAAGTGGATGGAAAATTCCTAGTAATGCAGAAAGCCCTACTAGGAAGCAATGAGCTCAGGATCAATCCAAATAAAATCCAAATAGTCCCTTTCACTTGGAGAAGGAAGCTACAAATAAAAGCACCCTCCATTGAAAGCAGAACTATTAACCTCAAAACTGAAGTTAAATACCTAGTGGTAATACTAGACAGTAAACTAAACTGCAACTTACACTTCGACAAGGTGAGCCCATCATGGAAAACCAGATCTGCCGCAGGCTCCTAGGAAGGAACTGGGATCTCAAACCACGAATGAGTCATTGGGCCTACGTAGCAATAATCAGACCCATGGTCGCCTACGCCTCACTGATTTGGTGACCAAAAACAAAACATACAGCTGGCACAAATCCAGCGGTTAGCATGTCTTAATATAACGGGTGCAATGAAATCTTGTCCGACGGCTGCTTTAGAAGCCCTACTCGGTCTCACACCACTCCATTTATATATACAAAAGGAGGCAGCTTCAAGTGCCTTATCACTGAAAACAGTTTCTTCGCTCAAGCTGATGCAGGGTAACCTCAGATGACACCTAGAAATCCTCAAGGACCCATGTCTAAATCACCTGATTGAAACTAAAACAGACCTTATACCGACAGAATACAATTTCAACCAGCCGTAGAAGGTCATATTTAGAAGCAGGGATGATTGGGCGAAGGGTGGGCCAACTAAAAAGAGGAGCCCTAGCATGGTACGCCGATGCTTCAAAGACAGTTAGATACGGAGTAAGCATGGCCATCAGTGGACCAAATAGCCACATTAAACTGTCCCTCAGCTCGGACATAACCATTTTTCAAGTAGAAGTTCTTACTATAAACTTCTGCACCGCTTTGAACCTACAAAAGGGATAGAAAGGTGCATCCATAAACATTTTCACAGACAGGCGGGTCACCCTAAAGGCAATTCAGGCCTACACGTGTGATTCCGCACTAATCAGAGAGTGTACCAGCAACCTGATAGAACTCGCTAGGAGGAGCAATGATATTACTCTATGGTGGGTTCCAGGTCACAGCAACATTGAGGGTAATGAAGGAGGCGGACAAGCTAACCAGAGACGAGCGAATACGCCCTTCATTGGATCCCAACCTGGTTGTGGACTACAAAAAAGCCACCTAAATCAAATAATCAACAGTTGGGAGGCCTCAAAGGTAGCCTTACGCTGGCATGAACTTCCAGGTCACAGACAAGCGAAAAGTATGATAGCTCCGTCGCAAAACAAAACCAAAGAGGTTTTATGGCTTAGCAAAGGGGATCTAAGGACGCTCTCAGGTTACCTGACCGGATTGGACAAGCTGAGGATCAAACTTGTCGACTTTGCAACGAACAAACACTGTGTAATTGCATCGCCAGACGCCATCTAACAATAAGACACAACATTTTCGGTAAAGCTTTCTTGACACCTATCGATATAAAGGTACAAGACCTTGAGGCAGTACTATAGTTCATCAAGGACCTACATTTGCCCTAAACTTTTGGAGGGCTAAAGTTACAATAGATCTTATAGGTGGCGGTAATGATGTACGATGTATCAAATAACTAAGTGTGTTATAAAGTGTATCAAATAAGCTGTGACATAAAATTAACCAATGTTTTAGTTTTCTAATTCGTTTATTATTAAAAACGAATTGTGAGTAATAAAAAGTTTTTTCTTTAATTTACAAATATTATTCTTAACAATTACGTTCAAATTTTATCAAAAAAATTCTCTGTTTCGATTTCACACCTCTTTAGATTTCAAACTTATCTAGTGTATCAAATAAGCTATGAGCCACCGTATACGGGGTGATTTATTAGCACACCATCAAACATTGACATACGATAGCTAATCCAATTACCAAAAAAAATGTTAATGAACATATGTCCTATTTCAATTATTTACGAAATTATAACACTTTAAAGTTTTCTGCAGCGAATTTATTAATAGTCAGTAAAATCAAATATTCAACAAAAACAAAGTTGTCATTGTAACATGTCAGTTTGCTGTAAGGTTTAATTATTACATACAAGAAGAAACTCGATATGTACGATTATAGCATTGAAGATTTTTGCAATGGAAATGCTCCACAATCAGTACGAGAATATCAAGAAAGATTTCCACAGCGTTATTTGCCATATTATTCAGTTTTTAGCGGTTCTTTTAGAAGACTTCGAGAAACAGATAATCCTGCTCCAGCAAAAGCTATTCGACCGCATGTAGTTAATGAATGTAGAGGACGCAGAAGCTGTAATTAATGCTGTCATTAATAATCCTTCCATCAGCACTCGAAGAATAGCACATAACATACATGTAAGTCATTTTGCATGGCTCGTATTAAACCGCGAAGTCCTTCATCCGTATCGTAAACAGAATGTTCAAGCTCTACAGCCAGGAGATAATCAGCAACGGTTAACATTTCGTGAATGGTTATTGCAACAACAGGCCCAAAATAATGACTTCATTTCAAATATTCTCTGGACAGATGAATCATGTTTTACACGAGATGGTATAAATAATTACCATAATGAACATATGTGGGCATTACAAAATCCGCATGCGATTAGACTAAGGAAATTTCAACAACGTTTTAGCATCAACGTTTGGGGTGGAATATTTAACAACAATTTACTAGGTTTGCATGTACTTGATGGACGTTTGAACGCTGTAAACTACAGATTTTTTTTGAACAATACACTTTTTGATTTACTTGAAGATATACCTCTTAATGTATGTAATTCAAAATATGTGGTACCAGCACGATGGTGCCCCAGCTCATCGCGGAAGAGTAGTTGTCGAGTGGTTAAACCAATATTTTCCAAGTGGATTGATAATAATGGTCCATTTGCTTGGCCACCTTGATCCTCCGACCTTAATCCATTGGATTTCTACTTATGGGGTCATATGAAACAAATGGTGTATCAAGTGGAGGTTAACACACGAGAACAGTTATTAAACAGAATACAAATGGCTGCTACTGAAATAAGGAATCAACCAGATATTTTAATTCGGCTGAAGAACTCTTTATTCTATTTTGAACAATATTTGTAATATTTTTGTTTTAAAAAAAATGTTGCAGTTAATTATGATATAAAAATTAAAACTTTAAAGTGGTATAATTTCGTAAATAATTGAAATAGGACATATATTGTGTTCATTAACATTTTTTTTTGGTAATTGGATTAGCTATCATTTGTCAAAGTTTGATGGTGAGCTAATAAATCATCCTGTATAGGAAAGATACAGTAATAAAGTCTGCATACACCCCAGAAAATCATAATATCTCAGCTCCTGAAATGTAATTCAATGAAATTTTTAAACGAAGGATATTAGAAGTGTATATTATTATAATATTTTACATAAAAATGTATAACTTATTATTTATAATGAAAAACACAAAATATAATCATATTTTTAACTCAAAAAAGTCTACATACAGCTATAACACGGCTCTATTTTTTATTTGTAAACATCATAGTTGCTGTAGTTTGCGTTTTATTTCATATCAACGTTGTTGCCATAGCAGTATACTAACATAAATCAGCTAACAATGGAAGCTATACGAAAAGAAATACCTTATGCAGTGCGAAATATCATAATTCACAATCATAATAATGGTCGTTCATTAAGTGAAATCGTGAAAATAGTTAGTAAAAGTCGCTCTTCGGTCCAGACAGTAATTCGAAATTATAAGGAACGTCAGTCAATCGAAAATAAACCAAGAAGTGGCCGGCCACGTAAACTGACACCTAGAGATAAGCGATCAATTTTAAAAACGATCAACGATCAGCCGACAACAATTGCGGTTGAAATAGCCAATCATTCGCGGCATCAAGGTCTATAACCTTAAATCTGGAAACAGTTAGACTGGTGTTACGAAGTGAAGGCTATAACAGTAGAGTTCCAAGAAAAAAGCCGTTTATATCCGAAATAAATACGAAAAAAAGAGTCGATTTTGCAAAATTACATGAGCAAAAGAATACTACTTTCTGGCGTACCGTTGTATTTTCGAACGAAAGCAAGTTCAATATTTTCGGCTATGATGGCAAAGCAAAGGTATGGAGAAAGAAAAACTAAGAAATGAATAAGAAAAACTTGAAAGCCACAGTAAAACATGGCGGAGGAAATGTAATGGTATGGGGTTGTATGTCGGGGGTGGTGTAGGAAGTTTGGTACTTGTTGAAACAATTATGGACCGTTATGTATATCTGAACATATTGCGATACAATTTAAAGGAATTGGTCAATAAATTAGTCTTGGGAACAGATTGGATATTCCAACATGACAATGATCCTAAGTACACAGCACACATTGTGACGAAATGGGTATTATATCTCTAATGTCAGGTATAAAGGGCTTAAGTGACAAAATGGCACTTTTCAATATAGTAAGTCAGTTAGAGTTGAAGAGTTAAGTCAGTTTGTTTTTCCCTTTCGATTGGTATTGTGGGCTTAAGTCTAACACCAACTGCTGCTACTATTTTAAACCGGTCTATAGGCTATAAGTCATCAGAACGTGTCTTATCTTGTTCGGTATTATAATCGTAAGTTGACATAAGCCCTTTTGAGCAACCAATACTTAAGACTTAAATTGACTTAGGTCTTTCATATCAAACATGCTTTGGCAATTCAGTCCATTATTAATTTAGTGTTATTGTACAGAAATGAGTGAAAGAAGTAAATATATAGTGCAATTGGCTCTAGGACGTTCAGGTAATTATTACTCTTCTAAAGTACAACGTATTTTTCAGACGTTATAGTGGCAAGAAATGGTAAGAGGTTATCTGTATGCAAGGACTGTTTTTGCAGGACTTTGGATGAAAAAGAGAAATTTATTAGAATGGCTATCAGCAATAAAACGAAGAATACTTCTGGTATTACTATAAATGATGGAAGAGGCAAAACATCTTCCGCAAACAAAAAAACGGAGGAAGAAATAAATGCAGTAGAAGCACACATTACATCGTTTCCTTCATATGAAAGTCATTATACCAGACGCACGAATGACAAAAAGTACCTTCCATCTCATTTAAACTTGCGAATTATGTACGATTTATATAAGGAAGAAAGAAACAATCCTGCTGGTAGGACAATATATGAGAAAGAATTTCATAAGTTGAAACTGTCATTTAAAAAACCGCACGTGGATACTTGTTCTAAATGCGACACCTTTCATATGCAAGTACAGGTTGCTACTAACTCGAACAATGTGGAAGAGAAGCTCCGTGTACAAAGAGATCTACAGTTACACCAAGAACAAGCGAATGCAGCATACGAGGCAAAAAAAGCAGACAAAGAAGAAGCTAAAGTCAATTCTGCAAAAAAAAATGCTATAGTTTTGATCTCCATCAATGTTTGCCAACACCGTTTATTGGTTCCTCGGTAGCGTTTTACAAAAGGCAATTGTGGACATATAATTTGACCGTTCATGACTGGTGAATCAACGCATTACATGTGGCACGAGGCTTTAGCTACCAGGGGAGGCAATGAAATTGCTTCCTGCTTATATAGCTATTTAAAAAAATTACCTGATTCCGTGACTGAAGTCACATTGTACTCAGACACATGTGGAGGGCAGAACAAAAATAGTCATGTTGCTGCCATGTTCTTAAAAGTGCAAAGTGAATTTCCCTATCTTATAATCAATCACAAGTTCCTAGTACCAGGCCATACTCACATGGAATGTGACATCGATCACTCCATGATAGAGAAACAGAAAAAAAAAATTGAAACACCTATTTTCCACCCACACGATTGGTTCCAGTTGGTCAGGGGAACAGGGAGAAAGGACCAGTTCAAGGTTCATGAGATGGAACAGAACGAATTTTTTGACTTTGCTCATTTACTAAAGACTGTATTGGTATGCCAAAAAAAAAGTATCTAGTGAACTATTCTTGTGGCCGCTTGTACAATGGCTTCAATATAAGGAAACAGGTGTCGTATACTACAAAAACTCTTTAAGCAACACTGAGGATTTTAAAGTGCTAAGTTTCCTAAGAAGGGGAAAACTCCACAACTTGAAGAATTATCCACTCCAGCAAAGATACAGAAGTTCACTTCCAATTTCGGTTGATAAGAAAAACGATTTGTGTGCATTATTACGATTTGTACCACCTGTATTCCACGAATTCTATAAAAATTTACCAACTTCTGAGACTGCCATTGATAATGATCCCGATTTAATAGAACAAGTAGAAGAAGAAGACATTTAAGGATTGCTCTTAAGGACGTTGGCGTCGTTATTCTTTTTGTTTCGTGTTACAAACATATACTTTATTTTGATTATTCCAACATTTTGTTATTGAATAAAATTGTAATCACTCAACGCCGTTTTTTTGCTTGACTTAAGTCCTTACGTCAAACAAAATAAATACAGGTAGTTATTAATCAGAGGGTCTTGTAGACTTAAGTCAGCCAAATTCATACCATTTCGGTAATGAATTGGTGCTGTTGTTACTTCTATAAAAAAATAATGCGATTTACGAATAATTATAGAACTTTCAAACTCATTTTGTGGAAAACTACAATTTTTGACTTAAGCCCATAATACCTAACACCAAAGATATAACGTCCCTAAACAACTACACTCACCACCGCAGTCACCCGACCTCAACCCCATAGAGCACGTATGGGAGCTTCTTGACCGCAAAATTCGGAAACTAGATATTAAAAATAAAAACGCAAAATAAAGACTGCACTATTACAGGAATGGAAGACTATTTCACCTAAAATTACAGCAAATTTAGTTGATTCTATGCCTCGACGATTAGCAGCTGTTCTTGCTGCCAAGGGAGAACCTACCAAAATACCAAACCAAATATACAATGGTTATGCCCTACCAAGTATTAATTACTATGTAAATTTTGAATTGTTTTGATTGTGAATGTAAGAGTAAACTACTGTATGTAGACTTTTTTGAGTTATAAATATGATTATGTTTTGTGTTTTTCGTTATAAATAATAAGTTATACATTTTTATGTAAAATATTATAATAATATACACTTCTAATATCCTTCGTTTAAAAATGTCATTGAATTACATTTCAGAAGCTGAGATTATGATTTTTTGGGGTGTATGTAGACTTTATTGTACCACTGTACATACTTTCCCCAAGTACAATTTATTGATTACCATTAAAAATAGCCATTGTTGTTCCAATAATTAAGTGCGGCACTGTATTAATAAGAAATTGAGATTTTGACATTTATTTTTTTTTAGATTCATTGTACAATTAGCAGCTGTACACGAAGGAGTAATAATTTCTTGTGATAATTACAAAGATTTATTAGCGGAAAATCCGAATTTGAGAGATGCGATTGAAAATAGAGTATTGAACCCGACTTTTGTTAAAAATATGATTATATTTCCATCGGATCCATTAGGACAATATGGACCGAAATTAGATGACTTTCTTAAATTTTCTACACAATAGTCATATTAACTGGTTATTATCAATTTCATATTAAATTAAATTTAATTAATTTAATAGTTTAGTTTATAAGAATTAAAATATTACATCATAATTAAAAAATAAACGTTTAAATTTTTAAATTTAATAACAGTTTTTTTTGCCCGTTTTAGGAAAATTTTAGTTTGTTCAGTTGGTAGTATCTACGGCGCAATGCATTGTTGGAATTTTAACCAAAATGGTCGTCGACCGAAGATTCGTGCGGTAGCATGAGCGATTCGGACGATTTTCGGTAATATCGAGTCGCAAATCGTCGAATTTTCAACGGAATCGCGTGTCGGATTTGTGTGCAATATCCGTTTAAAAAGTGCGGTGCCGAAATAGGCTAATCGCGAACAGTTATCACCGTTTAAACGATGTAGTTTTCGCCGTACAATGCAGAGCGTAACCCGAAAAATGATAAGACCAGACCGATGTTTTACTAGTGTCCGGTTTTTTAGCGGTATTCCGTTCGAGGGATAAATACCTAATAAGATGTGAGTATTTTTGATCCCCATTTTCCGTTTTTTTAGGTATTCCAGCACTCCCTAAAACGTCATCAAAAATTTGGTTTAACGTTTTCTTAATACACTCATTTCGACACCCTCTTTCCTTTTCGTTTTAGGTTTTCGTTTTTTTATTGGGTTTTGTATCGTACCCTGGAGGCAAGTTTAATACGATCAAACTTTTTAATTCTATTACTTTTTTTTTTAAATTGTAATACCGACGGACGGTCACTGTGCGCTTATCTACCGGTATATTTAACAGCTGTTCTCCTTTAAATGATATATGTCTTCGGTTCAGATATTGTTTACGCTATTTGACCTATTTAAAGTCTGTTACGAAACGTCTCGACTAGTTTAGTCGAAAGTCGACGGACAAAACGAAAATTGTTTGCTGGTTACGTTGCGTTTCCTTTCTTGTACAATTTGAAAAGTGTAGTCGCGTCAGCTGATTGCAACATGATTCCTACACATCATATTCCTCTTCCATCAGTATCTCGCAATATATTATATTAAAATATTAAGTTGTATATATTTTATGATAGATTTACGTAAAAACCAAAGAAAAAATTGATACATTTATAAACACTATTAAGGAATTGTTTGGCTGACGTGCGTAAAGTAAATTTTTGCAGAGTTTACAGAATCGCTTTCACCTATATACGCGGGGCCTTTAATTAACATACTTAGTCATTAGCTGTGCATTGAAAAATGTATCAATTATGTATGTCTGAAAAAATGCGCTTTGAATAACTAGATTTAATGGTTTCATTGCGCAATGTTATTTTGCAATCCTTTTTTTTTCTGGTGTTTATTGAATAATTCTATGGAACACGTAACTACTTTTTAACAACATTTCTGGAATCATTAGTGCAATTAGTGGGTTTGTGTATTGTCCATTTTCACCAGTGTTATACCAGTTAATTGTAATTTTTACTCAACAAGTGATCATTTAATAGTTTTGTATAAATGTAATGTTGCATCTATGTTTAAGTTTAGTACCCTCTAAAAACGTTCTAATAGTTCGGGTAAAAACGACCTTAATGGGACAAGAATTCATCACCTACCGGAGAACTCATTATACAGGGTCATCCATGACGACCGTCCATTATAACTTTACAGGGTTCTGGCCAAAACAAAAATTTGAAAATTCAGATTTAAGTATTATTAATTGCGTTCTCTTCGACTAAAATATTTTCAGATTTCTAGCACTTCCGATTATACCGGAAGTCGCCACCTACTTTATTTTTTTAAATGGAACACCCTATATATTTTTACATATTTGGATTTGTCTGTTTTCAAGGTTTATGAATAACTTTACTTTTTGCAATTTGATTCTTACGTTCTCGAGCTATTCAAATTATTCTAGAAAAATTTGCTCCAGCAGACATTTGTTAAAAAAATCAGAGAACACTCGATTTTTGGAATATCAATTTAAGATATAGAACATGCGTAAGCAACATGATGGAGTATGTTTTGGTGCCGAGTACGGCTGTCTAGAACGTTTGGTCACTTTACTACGGCACGTTAACTTGCCGAAATTTGGAAATACCATAACTTCATTTTTTTAAATGGCACTCCCATATTTTATTACTTAGTCGTCTTCGTTGTCTCATTTTACATCTTTTGTATCCTATATGTCCTATACCTAACATTTATAGTTTGGGAGATAATTAGGGTTTTTTGAAAAATGCACATAGGTATATATCGATATTTAACCTAGTGTGCCATGAATATCTAGTGTGACCTAGTGTATAACAATATGAACTGGCCTTTTGAAAATTTGCGGACTTCTGATGTTTGATGCCAGCGTTTTACTAAAATATTTTCAGGTTCCGGGTGCTTGTGGTTACACCGGAAGAGGTGACAATTTTCATATTTCAAATGGAACACCATGTATTTCATTACATTTTTGAAATTTTTGTTCAATTTTAGGCCACTTGTATGTTGCAGCCGAGACGTACGCGCAATTATTTGGTTGCACTCTCCATAAATTATTATCAAATTCAAATAATCCTCATTACTAAATTCCAAACGTGGCATTTCTTGAGAACAGATCACTACAAAAAGTAACCTAGTCATCACACCAACAGAAATAAACTATAGCTTTAGCAAATGTCAAACTGTTTACTCTTTCCTTACTGATCCTCTAATAATACATAACCACAACAACATTCCCAACACAATTTTTTTTTCAAAAGTAACGATGTAGTTGACATTTTTTATTGAAAAATGTTATAAAACTCAGGGTGTTCCATTTGAAATATGGAAATTGTCACCTCTTCCGGTGTAACCACAAGTACCCGGAACCTGAAAATACTTTAGTTAAAAAGCTGGCATCAAACATCACAAGTTTGCAAATTTTCACACCTTCACTTCATTCGGTTATTCACTAAGTCGCACTAGGTATTCATGACACACTAGGTTAAATATCGATATGTGTGTGCATTTTTCAAAAAACCCTAATTATTTCCCAAACTATAAATGTTAGGTGTAGGACATATGGGATATAAAAGATGCAAAATGAGACACCGAAGACGACTAAGTAATAAAATATGGAGGGTGCCATTTAAAGAAATGAAGTTATGGTACTTCCAAGTTTCGAAAAGGTAACGTACCATAGTAAAGCGACCAAATGTTCTAGACAGCCATACTCGGCACCAAAACATACTCCATTATGTTGCTTAAGCATGTTCTGAATCCTAAATTGATATCCCAAAAATCGAGTCTTCTCTGATTTTTTGAACAAATGTCTGCTAGAGCAGATTTTTCTAGAAAAATTCGAATAACTCGAGAACGGCCGAATCAAATTGTAAAAAGTAAAGTCATTCATAAACCTTGAAAACAGACAAATCCAAATATGTAAAAATATACAGGGTATTCCATTTAAAAAAATAAAATAGGTGGCGACTTCGGGTATAACCGGTAGTGTTAGATATTTGAAAATATTTTAGTCGAAGCGAACGCAATTGATAATACTTAAATCTGAATTTTCAAATTTTTATTTTGGCCAGAACCCTGTAAAGTTCTAATGGACGGTCGTCGTGGATGACCCTATATACCAAGACTAGAATTGTATTGATTATTTCCTGGATTATATACAAGTAGTTTTCAACCCAACAACACAGGGGCTAAGAGTTTAGCTGAATTATTATTGTATATGATGAAGATGTCATCCACGTATCGGCATAAAAGAATGTCTTTAACAAAGAGATTATATTTATCCGAGAAAAGTTCATTTTCAAAAGCATTTACAAATATATCTGCTATTATTCCAGAAATGGGAGAACCCATGGGTAGCTCATCCTTCATTTCATAAAAGTTATTATTAAAAGTAAAAAAATGTAGTTACAAATGATTTCTAGAAGGTTTATGAAGCTATTAATTTCCAGAATACTTAGATTATGGATATCATGAGTGGTAATGAGATGTTTTTTAATGATGTTTAACGTATGTATAATTGGCACATTTGTATATAAGTTTTTATATCAAAAGACAGCAGTCTGAAGTTGTTGTTTAACTTTTTGATTAAATCTGCTGAGTTTTTTATGCTATATTGGAAAACATGCTGAAAAGAATCATAAAGGAAAATTTGTGAAAATTTTGATACTACAAGTGGGAGTGTTACCAATAATGGGTCTGATACTTTTATCAGGTTTATGAAGCTTAATTAAACATTTTATGCCTGGTATAAGGGGATTCATGACAGAGGAATTAAAATTAGTGATATTAAATTTTTTAAAATAGGTGGAGTTCGTGCCTGATGATGTGAAGTTGTTCACGAAACTAGTCGCACCGAAATTGAAATAAAAATATTTGATGAAAAATACTTGATTAATTTTATAATCTCTACAATTATGTATGTCTGAAAAAATGCGCTTGGAATAACTAGCTTTAATGGTTTCATTGCGCAATGTTATTTTGCAATCCTTTTTTTTCTGGCTTATTGAATAATTCTATAGAACACGTAACTAATTTTTAAAAACATTTCTGGAATTATTAGTACAATTAGTGAGTTTGTGTATTGTCCATTTTCACCAGTGTTATACCAGTTAATTGTAATTTTTACTCAACAAGTGATCATTTAATATCATTAATATCAATAATGTATCACTGTTTAAGTTTAGCACCCTCTAAAAACGTTCTAATAGTTCGGGTAAAAACGACCTTAATGGGGCAAGGATTCGTCACCTACCAGAGAATTTCCTGGATTATACAGGATGTCCGCTGAGGTATCCGAGAAACTTCGTATATGAATTCTATGATCAATTTTAAGCATAAATGATTCTAATCACTTTTCTCGAAATCCAAACGGTTGTTGAGATATCGAGATTTGAAGTTACCAGATCGTATGGATAGATACTAAACAGTAAATAACATGTTGCTCGGTAATTGAATAATTAGCCATTTAATTGATATTGGAATAAAATTGTTGGCATTCAGGTCATTAATTGTCATCATTGTTATCAGTTGTGCTAAAATCATGCCTGCAACTTATCCACATGAAGAGTATGCGAACATGGTTTTCGTGTATGGATATTGCAACGGTAGTACCAGCGCCTCAGTTAGGGAATATCAACGACGATACCCAAACCGCCGTCTTCCAAACAAGCAAACCTTCGGTAGAGTCTTCACAACTCTTCGATTAAGAGGTGCGTTCCCTAAATCGACTTGTGAAAGAGAAATTAGGCGAAGAAACAATGCTGCAGAAGTGCTTGAGGCTGTTGAAAATGATGATGGTACTACTGTGCATGACACTTTGCGGGAAAACGGACTGCATCCCTATCATTACCAACCAGTTCAACAACTTCTTCCCGGGGATCTTCCCCAAAGAGTTCGCCTTTGTGAATGGTGGAGAAATCATCTGGATACTCTTTCAAGAACTCTTTTTTGTGACAAAGCTACGTTTACTAGAGATGGAATCAACAATTTTCATAACGAACATGTGTGGAGATTCGAAAACCCTCATACTGTTCGAGAAACCCATTTCCAGA